CCAAAAAGATAAGATGAAACACTCTTCAAGAGTAGCTAGATATCATGAAGTGTGTTTCCTTTTTCAAACAGACTTCCAAGAAGTATACTCATAGTCTTTGGGGTTAGGAATCTAGTGGCAATTATCACTGAAAGCGCCAATCTTGTAATAATATAACTTCTAGCTCAGTAATGGCCCCTTGCTTATTTTTCATTGTTTTGAGCTCTTTAAAGACACTGTTTTGATTGGGGTTTGTTAAAGTGTTGACGCAGCTGAGTTTCGTTCAAGACATAAATCTGTTGATGTAAGATGAGACTAAGACGCTGCTAAGATTCAGTATGCAAATGACCTTTACACATTTCAATATATAGTATTAACTGGTTCTGAACTCACAATAACCCATGGTTTACCATGATGAGAGTAAGCCACAGGGAATCTCAGGCGTGCACACTCTCAATGTTCCTCTTCTCCCCCACTGTGGCCACAAAGAAAAGAGTGAAAACTTCCACTTACATTTTTAAAAAACTTTGTTTTTCAGTTTCTGAAAATGCTTATACCAATCACCATATAATCCCCCCAAGAAACATTCCATGCACATACAGTGGTACCTTGGGTTAAGAACTTAACTCGTTCTGGAGGTCTGTTCTTAACCTGAAACTGTTCTTAACCTGAGGTACCACTTTAGCTAAGGGGGCCTCCTGCTGCTGCCGAGCCACCGGAGCACGATTTCTGTTCTCATCCTGAAGCAAAGTTCTTAACCCAAGGTACTATTTCTGGGTTAGCGGAGTCTGTAACCTGAAGCATCTGTAACCTGAAGCGTCTGTAACCTGAGGTACCACTGTACAAGGCAAATGAAACTGCCATACATTAAGCAAGTTTGTACAATAGTTTAGGAGTTCACTAAAGCAATTAAGTGCTTTCTACTATCCATTTTAACAGATTGTCCCAGAATGAGCAGTAGGTAGCTAGTCACTTCCATTTTTTGTTTAACACATCTTAGCATGTTACCGTAAACTGTGGTTAATCTTAACTCCATATTACTGAAAAAAGCCATCTGATTCATATCCCATGGTTTGAAACTGGCTGGCTTCAAACAAACTATTGCTAAGATTAACCATAGTTGTTGGATACATATGAAATGACAAGCTGCAGTTAATTAAAAATGGAAGCAAAGGGTTTCAATCTCCTCCTTGCAACTTTGCTGGAAGAGGAGGGGAAAGGGGGAGCATGCTGGCCCAAAGCTCACTGTGGCTCATTCATGTCATGATAAACCATGGCTATCTTGACATATTCATTTATAATCCTAAGAGGGCTTTAAAAACAAATCTTCGCAGACATGGGGCTCAAGAGTATATAAACATTAATATGACATTTGCTTGCAAATTTATTTTCTTTTCCTGTTTGTATTGAGCTACAATGCTGTCTGCACCTATTCATTAATGTCATCACCAACACGTACCCAACCACATATTGATATGCATTTGCCCCAGTCAAAGATTGCCATGATTTTGTACCCATCTGAAGCCTTTGCTCAATATTATTTTGGAACTTCGGATCACCTTCTTCTTTTACTTGGGCTTCTGCCTTGATTCTGTGAAACTGCCAGTCTCACAATACACTTCTGCTGATCTTTGGACATGTAGATGAATCATGGGATGTTGTCATGCCATTAAAGTATAATGTGTGAGCCTGTTTTAAAAAGGAACCGGTGAACCCAGCGAGAACCATCTGCTTGCAATCTGGTGGTTGGTTTTTCCTTTAACACACCCAGGATTGTAAGGACACATGGGGGCCTTAAATATGTATCTTGAAATTGTTACTGAGGCTGTGCTGTCCTCAAAATCACTAGTGCTTTTCTGGTTGTGAGCTGCTGGCCTGGATCCACTTGGAATCCACCCAGGGCCCATTTTAAATGAAGGACATCATGTTCTGTTTGTCATATTACTGAGCATTCTTGAGGACTTCCCTTAAAAGCCAGTCAGAAGTAAAACGAGGAAGTGAAGAGTCATAAAAAGGATCCTTGTCATCAAATAACATTTTGAGCTCACTCTATTAACACACTGTTAAAAGGTCCTGGCTCATGGGCTAGGGAAGCAACTGAGAATGATTAAAGACTTGGAAAGGCAATGTTTGAGGATGCACACCAAATCCATCTCTTATTATTTCAAACAACCTGGCCAATTCTTTCAAACCACCATTTCACCAGTTCCTGGAAACTGCAGGAAAGGACAGTGCTTTTCCACTCAGGTCCTGCTTGCGAGCTTCTCATAGACATCTGGCTGGTTTCTGTCAGAGCAGAATGCTGGACTACATGGGCCAATGGCCTGGTCCAGAAAGCTTTCCTTGTCTTTTTATGTACATTTACAACTGCCCCTCCCCAAATGCATCCATGATGGCACTTCTTTTCATTCTCTAAAACTCCTGACACACCCCTCCTTTTTCTTTGAAAGCTTTGGTACAATTTCTTTGTACCTATTCCCTGCATTAGGGTTGAGGGACCTATGGCCCTCAAAATGTAGCTGCATCTCCTATCATCCCTGGACATTGGCCATGCTGGCTAGAGCTGATGGGACTTGGAGTCCAACAATATCTGAAGGGCCACAGGTTTTCCAAACCATTACTCTGCTCCAGGTAGTAAGAGTCACCAAATATGTAGGATGTTCCACATTTTAGGATAAATGCAAACATTGAAATAAAATATACATTTAAATATGTGTGTGTGTGTGTGTGTGTGTGTGTGTGCTCACGCAAGCACCCCCCTCCAGATTAAAGCTGAAATGTGATCAAATGGGGTCACATATGTGAAACAGACACAAACTGGGTGTGTGTGTGTGTTCTGGTCACCTAAGATGGCCTCCATAAGACATCGTAAACCAGGTGTTGGGAAACTTTGGTCCTTCAGCTATTACTGAACTACAACTCCCATCAGCCCTAGAAAGCATAACCAAAGACCAGGGATGATGGTAGCTGAAGTTCAGAAAAATCTGGAGATTCAAAAGTTTATCACATCTTCTATAAACACCCCTCCCCGCTTCTTCAAAACTGGCTCAACTATATGTCCATAGGACCCAGGGGCAGGAAGCAACAGCAAAGGTTTTGCAGATCTTCCTTTGGAAAGTAAAAATAAAAGTAACTTTTTTATTTCAGCTTTGATCTGTCACGTGTAAAATCCATCACCTTCCCTAAGATGGCAGATCATTCCTCACAGGATTCTGATTGATAGCGCTGGAACCTTAGATCAAGCAGCAAAACAATAAGAGAGGATCATAAAACGTACTCTCCGTGTCTCTGGTTTTATATTTGGCTTCCTGTAGAGAGAGCTTTGGTCCCATTAAATGCACTATATACCACTGAGCCTAGAAATGCACTCTCCTCCTCATCCTGAAAGCAGGCATATAACCATATACACCATGATTGACATATCTACTACTGCTTGTTATAAACTACGGAAACACTTTTTGTGATAAACTCAACTAAAACTAAAACTCAACTCAACTAAAATATTTTTTTCCAGCACACAATTCCAGCCTATCTGTTTAAAGGAGCAAAACCATTTTTTTAAAAGCAAAGATGCCAACTGTTTTATTGCAGGAATGGCACACTGATGTAACCTTGAAATAGGCTGCATACATGCTAACCTTCCTGAAGCACAAAAACACAGATCTGGACTTGCTGATGCTCATCCTCACCATACTGCTTTCAATCTACACAAGGTTAGGTGTGGTTACTTGAAAACTTGAATCCCCTTGCTTAGGTTATCCATGCCTTTTTCTCCCTGCACATGCCCCAGGTGAAGGAAGAAGGAAGTAGTGATTGAAATATTGGAATACGCCCACCCACATTATGCACATTATGCACAGCGGGTCAGCGGTTCGAGTCCCCGCAACGGGGTGAGCTCCCGTTGTTCAGTCCCTGCTCCTGCCAACCTAGCAGTTTGAAAGCATGTCAAAGTGCAAGTTGATAAATAGGTACCACTCCAGCGGGAGGTGAATGGCGTTTCCGTGCGCTGCTCTGGTTTGCCAGAAGCAGCTTAGTCATGCTGGCCACATGACCCGGAAGCTGTCTGTGGACATATGTTGGCTCCCTCGGCCAGTAAGGTGAGATGAACGCCACAACTCCAGAGTTGTCTGTGACAGGACTTGTCAGGGGTCCTTTACCTTTTTACATTATGCTATAGCTGGGACCACCTAAACCTATTTTTCAAATGGACACATTGCAGGGTAACACAGAATCAGGCTGCAACCAGATTATGTTTTCTGAATTAATCCAGTTTCTCAATAAGAGCTTATTGGGGGCATAAAAACATGCAGTATTTCCCATTTTTGTGGGGACTACATAGAAAAAAGAAGAACAAAGACTCAGCTTTTGTCGATTCTAGATTAAAAATGCCATAGCTATGCAGCCATATTGTGTTCTCAACAACACAACAACATTCTGCTGATGTGCTAACACCATTTTGCAGAAAAAAGCAGGAAGTAGAGAGCACCTTGTCGTTCGCTGCTGGCTGAGCAACTTCCTATCATTCCCACCTGTGACACACACAATTCCCTCCCCCACCAGAAAGTCAACACTGTTTTGCAAAACAGCTAAAAATAAAATGACAAGAGTGGTTTTGCTACTTCCCTATCAAAAGGTATTAACAAAGATGGCCTGAGCATATATGCTCAATGCTCAGAGTCCCTAAACATCCTAATGCCAGAAGCTAGAAATGATTGACGTTGCAAGTCCAGGCTTCTGCTTTCCCTTGCTGACAAGCTGGAGAATTCTCAAGTACAATGAGGTTTATGTTTTTTCTCACTAAATAGAAACTAACAGACAACTGCCGGAGGGAGGGAGGCAAAATGCTGGCCCCCTAGGCAATCCCAGCTGGCAGAATGCTTCTAAAGCCTTCAAAATGAAGAGGAGGACCTGCTTCATCCCTTCTGCCTGCCAAGGGAACCTGGCCTCTTAGCTAATATTAATAGAATTGTAAGAGACCATGAGGGTCAACCAATCCAACCCCTTGCAATGAAGGAATATTTAGCCCAACATGGGGCTAGAACTCACAACTCTGTGATTAAGAGTCTCATGCTCTGCCCACTGAGCTATTCAGGGTTAGCTAAGCCTCCACATCTTGTCATGGCCAATGTTCTCTGGCACTACACTGCTCCTCTCAGCAAGACTTTTGTACCTTTGCATGTATTTATGCAGCCATTCTGGCTTGAAAAGGTCTGTAGATTAAGATCACAGGACGAGCTTGCTGGATTAGGCCAGTGGTCTATCTAGTCCAGTGTCCTGCTCTCACAGTATTGAGATGCATTATGTGTCAAGTTTGTGGCTATCACTGCCTCCTGAAGGAGCAGCTCAGGAGGTGACTTGCACTGGAGATACTGCAGTTACACTGTTCCCTAAGTGTCTAGCTGTCATTGGATGCCTGCACACATGGGAAGATGGTGGCTTGTCAGTTAGCAAACATGCACTTGCATTGTGTGAACTAAGGCTCCTTTTCTGCACCTCTGTCTCCCCTCGGATTCTGGTAAGGATGGAAATTCACTACTTCCTTCAAACCCTTCCCAGTGGTTGCCAGCAGGTCCTGCCAGTAGATCACTTCACCAGCTATTGAACCTTCCCAGCTTGAGCTGGCCTTTGCTCCTAGATTACATGAATCTGGTAAGCAATAAAGCCCCTTCCACATAGACAGCACTGGTATATTGTTCTTACACGTCAATAATACCTCTCCAACCACTTCTTAAAATGTGGTGGGGGCAGACAGAGAAACTAGAAGGAAGAAAACCAACACTTCCTGCTTAGTTATTGGGTGAAAGAGGTCCACATACATAAACTCTGCTGAACTTTCACACAAACTATGGTGTGTTCTGGGTGTATTTGAGATGAAGTATTAGTAACAGTTCTCAGAACTAATATAGACAGTGGAACAACAAATGTGGAATGAAACTTTGTGGATAAAGTGCCTTACATACACAAAGCATTAGAATACACACATATACAACACAAATTATACATATATATCCTGCCTTCCCACAAGCATTTATGCATACCCTTCCCTCTCATACTTTCAGTGAAGAACGTTTTGATTCTGTAAGGGTAAGATTTACTCTCTGCCCCAGAAATCCATTTTCTGGGGTTTTCTATGAGTCACTGTTCCAGGCACGCCTTTTGATTGGAGGGCAGCCTCTTTCAAAGGCTTTTCTCTCCATTGGGAATGATTGGATGCTCCAAACTCACCCAGTGCAGAAATGAGACAGAAACACCTTTCTTTCCTTTCCACAGAGGCTAACCAGAAGGAGGGAAAGCTAGAGGATAATCATGCATAGGGAAACTGCAGGCAGCTTCTCCCATAGATGAGCACTTCTTCTTCTTTAAAAATAATGAATTTCCTATAGCGTGCTAGTGTTCCCCTGCACATTGGGGTAGACTCAGATACGGTCATGCTTGGAGTAGACCCATTAACATGCCCAACAATTTCATGGACCTACACTAAGCATTATTAAGTCTGGATTCTGACCATAGTTTACGAATGATCTTGAACGCAGCCTGGATATTGCTGGACTACAACCCCATCGGCTTCAAGTAGCATGACAAACCGGTCAGGGATTATGAGAGTTATAGCCCAGCACTATGTGGAGGACACCATGTTGGGAAAGGCTGCATTGCAATACATCACGGCAAGAAAACACAGCATCATCACTCAGGCATATTGAAAACTTTTCAAGGAGGAAGGAGAGGGAAATTACTTACGATTTCTGTGGCACTGATTTGGTTGCAACTTTGCCAGCCGGCTCTCCCCATTCTGAAAAGAAAGAAATCACATCCATATAATTGCACTGAATTTAACAGCACTCTCAAGAAAGGCTTAAGTGACATCAAAACTGGTCCACAACACATTAACACAACAGTGTGAATAAACAACATCTATTTCAGCAGCGCACTGATTAATTTTAAACCTGTTGTCTTAATGATACTGTATAGTGGGCAGAAAATGATAACTGATAGTTTCAAATAATATCAGGGAAGACCTACTTTGAACTCCACATCCTGAGGTCAGATGCTGTGGATCCTACAACAAAAGCACACAAAATGTCAACATTAGTTAAGAACTTATGAAGGAAAACCTGTATTTTCTCCTTAGACTAAGGCACCAAAGTGACCTTAATAAACAAAGGAAGCCCCTTACAGTATGTAGTTCTTGCAACAACAATGGCACCAGAGAGAAACATTTGTTCATTTGTACAGTCAGAGAAAACTATTGAATTGTAGCCAATTAGGGCCCTTTCTGCACTATGCATTTAAAGTTATAGCATGGCTTCCCCTAAGAATCAATGGAACTGTAGTTTCATGAGGGTGCTGAGAGTTACTAGGACACCTCTATTACCATCAGGTAGCTATGTGCATCTATGCCTATGAGTTGGATCATGATAAATTAAGGGTTTTTTTGGACTGGGCAAGTGAACAGGCAATCTTCCTACAGGGCTATGCCTGAGCCACTTGTTTCTGCCAGCGTTGACATATGAACCAACCAAGGCTCTGATAGCACCATCAGAGGTCCATCTTTGTAAGCCTCCTCCATGGAAGGCCCAGAGTGTGGCAATACGATGGGGATTTTCTACAGTTCAGCTCCCTGGTTGTGGAATGTTCTCCCCAGGTGGGCTTGCCTGGCACCATCATTATATATCTTTAGGTGCCAGGCAAAAACTTTCTTCCATAACCAGGCCCTTGGCCTTTAACTATCTATGACCTTTCATAAGTGGGTAGGATGTATTTCCTTTCCCCCTTTGTTTTAATAATAATAATAATAATAATAATAATAATATCTTTATTGTCATTGCCCCCTTCGGGGACAACAAAAATACTTTAATGTATCTATGTGGGGTTTCTTGTTGGCTGGTTGGTTGGTTGGTTATAAAGACTCTCCTCCTGCAAGAGAGTGGAGTGGTTGTGGTCGGGAGCCGGACTCCGCCTCAAGCAGGGGGCGTTAGCCCCCTGCCTCCCACTCACCTGGCTGGGGCCGACGCCCACGGGCAGGCACCCAACCAGGTGCCTGTGAGGGGGCGTGTTTAGCAGCCTAAATTGCTGTGGCACCAGCCTTCCGGCCTCACTATGTGGGGTTTCTTGTTGGCTGGTTGGTTGGTTGGTTGGTTGGTTATAAGTTGCTTTTGGTTGCCCTGGGCAAGATAAAGCAAATAACAAATAACAATAATAATAATGTCCTAGGTGATGGAGCAGAGACAGTGCCAACTTGAAGTTTGAGCCATCTTTGGTCAAGGAAGCAAGATAAGAGTGTTAAGCAGCTTCTGGGCAGGTATAGAATCAAAGAATCATAAAACTGTAGAGTTGGGACCACAAGGGTCATCTAATCCCACACCCTGCAATCTAGGAAGCATTTACCCAACATGGGATTGAACCCATGAGCCTGAGATTAATAGTCTCATGCTCTACTGACTGAGCTATTCCAGGATTTGATAAAGTACCACTTCTGGCAATCTATCGGGCTTGTCCCTGGGATATGATTCAGTGCCCATAACAACCTTCCCAGACAACGACAACACCTCCTGGGACCGGACATCGCCTGTCACACACTTCACCAGGATAACTGGCCTCCAATTCTGCAAACTTCCCCCACCCCTCTTCTGTAGCTGGCCAGCCCTTCCAAGATGTCTCTACGGGGCGCACAACAACATTGTTGATATGCATAATTAAGTTGAGTACGTTCAGGGCTGAACTGACACCAGTGTAGCCAAAACAGTAATCTAATTCAGCTGAACCAACCTATGGTCTTGATGCCCAATCTGCATTTCAAAGTCCACTCTTAACCTACCTGTGCCTTGCCCGAAATGGGAAACTTATTCTGTTCAGCCTTTCCAGGTGTGTGTATAGCAGTAAGTGGTGGAGGCCAGGAATGGGTCATCTCCTAGCAAGAGAACAAAGAAAAATCAGAAGAATGTAGTCCACATTATACCCCCATCTATTTTCTCTGGGTTGTAGCCAATGCAAGTTCTACTCAGAGCAGAACCACTGAAATTCATTGCCATGGCTACCTTAAGTTCATTAATTCCAAAGGATCTATGGTGAGTAGAACTTTGTTGGCTACAGCCTTCTATTTTGCTTATGATTTAATGAGCATTCAGAAAGACATTGACCATTTAAAATATATTTAAAGTACAATGATACCACTTCAAATAGTCATGGCTTCCCAAAAATAAGTTTATTAAGGATTCTGAGTGTTGTTAGGAGGCCCCTGTTTCCCTCCTAGAGCTACTATTCCCAGAGTTCCCTGTGAAGAGGGATTGTCTGTTAAATCACTTAGTGGATTGTAGCTCTGTGTGGGGAATGGGGTGTCAAGATTTTCACCCCTCAGTGTAATGATTTCAGAACAACCATACTGGATAAGAAGAGTAATATTCAATGTTCATCCTCATTTTCTCCAGTGAAATACTTATTCCCAACACAGAAGCTCACCCTTGTTCTAAGTTAGCAATACAGCTGGACCTGATACACACTTCCGAAACACTGATAGGGAATAATCAAGGTTTCTTCATTCACTTATTTGTGGAAAGAATTAACATCTAAGATTGGAAGGATTTGAAAAAATCTCTGAGTATCACAGAAGTAACAGAAATGTTTTAAAGTAGGGTGTAATGGAAGTTCAGAAAATCAAACCAGGGTTTACTTCCATGTGGTTTGGACTTACAGAGTCATGTTAGCTATTGGGAAGGGTGCAGAGTTTATGCACTGAAAGAAAAGGGATTAAATGACAGTTAAGTGGGTATGGTTTTGTTGGCTTCAGAGTTGCTTTGGCCCTAAGGATGTATCTGCTTATCAAAGTGTACTCCTTCCTAGAAAAATTATTTAAATATTGTTTTAATTGACACGGTGTGTTTTATTATAAGGGCTAGGCATGCACACTTCTCCAGCCAAGTCTCCTCCTCCTTTTTCTCCCCCCCCCCCTTCCAACCATCCTTTTAAACTAGCTGTACATGCCCTGAGGTAAGGAACTGAGAAGGATAACATACAGAAGATGCTTAATGAATAGCTAGGGAAAAAGAAGCAACAGCAGCATAATTTGTCTGCAAGGCTGTAGGGTTAATGGTTCCTAC